AGGCCAGGCCGGGTGGTGGGCGGCCGGGCGGCGGGGGATCGGCCCGCTTTCCAGCGACACCCACGGTGGCAGGCCTTGCATTGGAACCGAGTGGCCGACTCCCCATCCATTGTGTCAGTGGAGGCCAGCGGCCCGGAGGCCGGCGGGAGGGCAGGGTCTCCGGCCACGTTGGGTTTTGACAGCCGCGTCTGAGGTTCCGGGAAGGGACCGGCCCAGGGTCACACGCAGTGGAGGCCAGGCCAGGGCGGTGGAATTACATCCCCTTGGAGGGACCCAGTATTCTGCTCTTACCTAAGGCAGAGGGACTAAACGCTGTTTACAAGAGAGAGTGGAGGTGGGTTTTTTTTTTAAGATTGCTTTATCACATTTTAGAATGTTGGCTGATAATGTTCTGTATGTACCAGTCAGAGAAAGCAATCCTTTGGTCGTTTGGACACAGTAGAGAAGCACTGGTGAAGAGCTCTATCAATGGTACCTCCTCTCATCAATACATGTCAGTGAAGTTTTTTGATTTTTCTGGCTGCTTCTCAAGGAGGAACTTTCTCTCCCTCCCCTGCCGTGAGGTCTCCCTGAGTGCCCGGGAGAGACGTGAGGTGGCAGGTCTGCAGGTTTGCTGGGGAGAGCTGCAGGTGGCCTTTCTGTAACCGCACAGGTGCCATCTTCAGCTCCCACCTAGCCCAGCGCTCTTTCTGACGGATCCTATCCACCCTCTTCTTTCCCCTCTGTCCACTTGCATCACCTGAGATTCCTTAGAAAAGCTCCCAAACAGGACTGATTTGCCCCCAACTTTTGTTAGCCTTTGGGTATCACTCTTGTATTTCTATACAGAATTTTCCTGCTGGAGAAGGAAGGAAGAGCCAGGTAATTTCTCTGCATCCCCATTGATGATGACAGGTGTTCTGTGATTGTTACTGAATGAATGTGTTGTTGAATTGTTTAGTCATTCATTCATTCAGTAGGCATTGATTGGGCACTGCTGTGAGTGAGGCACTCTTAGAAGCTGGGGATACTGTGGGAAGCCACCTATTGTCCTCACTAGCAGAGAGGTCTGGACAAGGAACCCGGAAGGCTGGTGACCCTTGAAGCCCTGGCAAAGGTCAGGGCTGTGCACCCACTGTTAGTCCAGACAATGGTAGCTGAAGCAACTTCCCCACCAGATAGTCATGTAAATCCTTACTGATAAGATAGTCTGCCTGTTACTGGAACTTGCCTGCCTAAGGGCTATGGGTGTATCCCAAACCAATGAAAGGTTGGTGAGGCCTGAGCACCAGTGGAAGTCCTTCCCCTTGAGTTGGACTTGCCCGCCTGGCCCCCCAGTATTTCCAAATTATCTCTTGTCTCTTCTCTTTCATTTGTGTGTGACTCCTCTTCCAGATCCTGAACCCTGAACCACGCGGGACGTGGGGGAACAAACATTACACAGATACAACTGTGAATTAGCACCTACACTCATGGAGCTTATGTCCCTGTGGGGAAACCATAACCCAGGCAGACACACAGGGTTGTCATAGGTCAGTGATGGCGAACCTTTTGAGCTCGGCGTGTCAGCATTTTGAAAAACCCTAACTTAACTCTGGTGCCGTGTCACATATAGAAATTTTTTGATATTTGCAACCATAGTAAAACAAAGATTTATATTTTTGATATTTATTTTATATATTTAAATGCCATTTAACAAAGAAAAATCAACCAAAAAAATGAGTTCACGTGTCACCTCTGACACGCGTGTCATAGGCTCGCCATCACTGGTCTAAACTATATGACATTAAACTGATGGAAGCTGTTAGCAGAGCCCAGCAAGGACCCACGATTCAGAGTCAGAATGATGGACTTGACAATAAGCTAAGTGAGTGGGAGACACTGCCATTCACAGGATGTTCAGTGGTGAAAGGAACAAGAAATCAAGCCCACAGCATCTACTAAATGCCCGCAACCAAGGTACATGCCCTTGACCGGAATCGAACCTGGGACCTTCCAGTCCGCAGGCCGACGCTCTATCCACTGAGCCAAACTGGTTACGGCAGGAGGCTTTATTTTATAGTGAGATCAAAACAGGGGTAGTGGTCAACATGTTTACAATGTTTTTCTGAGTTTCACTTATTTTGGCAGCACTTGCTGCACCTCCCACAGCTCATTAGCTACCGAGGAACAAACTAGGGAGGGCTATAAGGTTAAGCTTAATGAAGCTAAGAGGGCTCTGCCCTCCAAGCTGGGACTTGTTTGTGGCCCTGCCGCAGGTCAGTACGAGGCTTAACCCTAGAGCTGCTCCCTACAAGTGCTATGAAGGAAGGGACTAACAGGGCACTATTTTAGATGTGTGGGTCTGTGAAGGTCCCTGTAAGGCGATGTCTAAGCTGGAGATTTGTATGAGAGGAAGCCAGGAGGAGAGCTCATGCAAAGGTGGAGGAGTCCAAGGAGGCCAGGGCGGCTGGAGAGCAGTCAGTGCCCAGGAGGAGACAGGTCAGGGAGGTAGGCTGCAGTCTGCTAAGAAGTTTAGGTTTTGCCCTAGCCGGTTTGGCTCAGTGGATAGAGCATTGGCCTGCAGACTGAAGGATCCTAGGTTCCATTCCGATCAAGAGCACATGCCCGGGTTGAGGGCTCAATCCCCAGTAGGGGGCATGTAGGAGGCAGCCAGTCAATGATTACCATCGTTGATGTTTCTGTCTCTCCCTTCTCTGAAATCAATTAAAAATATATTTTAAAAAAGTTTATCCTGTGACTGAGCACACAAAAAAAAGTTTATATTTTATTCTAGGTATATTGGGGAGCTGAGGAGAGTACTGTGGGGGAGGAGGAAGTGGGGAAATAAATTGGGCGGAGTTGCAGTGGCTCAGGGGACAGGTGAGGGGGTTTGGACTAGGTGATGGGAGTGGAGGAGGAGAAAAGGGGATGGATTTGAGATGATTTCAGAAGTCAAAGAGTAAGACTTGTGGTTTGACTGAGACGGAGGAGTGGAATGGAGGGGCGATGTTGTTTTGTCATTCCAACAAGGCTTTTAGCAAGATGACCTGGGACTGAGGCCATTGTGCAAGCCTCAGAGAGACTTGTCATCAGCACCCACGTAAGCTGAGGCACTTCAGAAGCTCTTTTCCAAGGCACTCCAGGACCCTGGAGTGAAAGGTGAACCAGACGGCTGTCGGCACTATTCCTACTGCCTTCCTGAGCCAGAACCGTCATATCCTCAACATTCTCCTCACAGTCATCTTAGCTGTATCAGCATAGGGCTCACATTTATTGCGAAGCACAGCTAGACATTGTGCTGAGTGCTTTTTACCAAATTGTGTCATTAATCCTCATAATCATGTCATGTAGGTCCTATTATTAGCTCCCTTTTCTAGATATGGAAGGGACGTTGAAAGGTGTGTAAGAAACCTTGCTCACCGTCAGCCAGGTGGAGTTGCCAGTTGCACCCAGGCTGGCTGAGCACAGAGCTCATGTTCTCTGTACCTCATTCAAGGCCTGTCCCTTCATGTTCAGAGGAAGAGACCAAGACCCAGGTAGGGGTCACCTGTCTCACACCACAGATACTTCTTTCTTTGGCCATGTTTTTCCTTCTGTTTCTCACGTGCTAATACCGTGGTCCAGCCAGTGTCTCCTGTCCTGGACGTGCAACTGATGTCCTCACATCCCCAGCCGACACGGCTGCCTGGCTGCCTTCAGGATCCCAGATGGGGCTTCACCGGGGCAGGTGCCATTCTGAGGTTTCTTTTTGAGGTGGACATTTTGGTTGTATCGTTCTGGTAACATCTCTCCATTCTCTTGCTGTGTACAGGCTTCAGAGAGGGACAGACAAACCGGGAACGAAAGGCCTTCGACAACTTCTCCCTCACCCCAGCCAGCTGCTGAGAAGAACTCCTACCTCTACTCCACGGAGATCACGCTGTGGACAGTGGTGGCTGCTATCCAGGCCTTGGAGAAGAAAGTGGACTCCTGTCTGGCCCGCTTGCTGACTCTGGAGGGACGGACCGGGACAGCGGAGAAGAAGCTGGCTGACTTTGAGAAGGCGACCTTGGAGTTCGGGAACCAGCTGGAGGGCAAGTGGGCCGTGCTGGGGACCCTGCTGCAGGAGTACGGGCTGCTGCAGAGGCGGCTGGAGAACATGGAGAACCTGCTGAGGAACAGGAACTTCTGGATCCTGCGGCTGCCCCCGGGCAGCAAGGGAGAGGCCCCCAAGGTAAGCTGGGCACCTGGGGTGGGGCAGCCCCTGGGGCTGTGCCTGTAAGTGTGGGTCGGCGGTCATGACACCTGTGGTTCTAGGTGCCCGTGACCTTTGATGATGTGGCCGTGTATTTCTCCGAGCTGGAGTGGGGCAAGCTGGATCCTTGGCAGAAGAATCTGTACAAGCACGTGATGAGGGGCAACTACGAGATGCTGGTCTCCCTGGGTAAGGCCGAGTCATAGCATCTGGGCCTCTGTCTGTGTCTTTGCTTTGGCTCCTGTTCCTCTGGTGTCTCTACATCTGTGCAGTGAGCCGGGTGGCAGGTGTCCTGACCCAGCTCTCTCTCTCTCCATTCTGTACACAGATTATGCCATCTCCAAACCAGACATCCTCACTCGGATAGAGAGGGGAGAGGAGCCTTGTCCTGAAGGCCTGTGGGGCCAGGAGGAGGGGGAAGAGAGAGAGGCAGCTTGCCCAGGCAGGCTGGACGCTGGTGAGTAGGAGCAAGATGGTGAGGGCAAACTGAGCCATGTCCCTGCTCTCCCGGGCTTCCCAGCATGCTGTGAGGCCAGGAAGGGAACACAGGCCCATAACCCAAAGTGGGGCACGCTCTGTCTCAGGCCGGCCAGTCGGGTGGGTACAAGGGTTTTGCCTTAAGAGCCGTACGGTTTCTGCCTCTGTGCAAGAGGACGGCGGTACTCGCCTTACCTGACAGTTGTGGGGACTAAAAGTGACGGCAGGCTTTGCAAAGCCGAGCATGTTATGGTAAATAGGAACTTGTTACTAGCAGCACTACAAGTAGCAGCAGCATTATTGCCACCACCTCCTGGTTCCCAACTGTATCACCTGCAGCTGTAAGGCCTGAACTGTACCGGCTTCCCTTTGGGGAAATGGACCCTCTCGCAGGAGCCCGGGCTGATTTCATCCCCACAGCTGGTGTGTACAGGACAGTGGTTCCAAAGTTGACTGCATATCAGAATCTTCTGGGGAGCTTTTTAAAAATAAAATTTAAAAAAATAAGTGAAAGTAGAGAGAATAGTACTTTCCCTTCAGATGATCATCCCCCAGATTCACCAGTGATCAAAAGTTTGCCACATTTGCTGTATCCATCTCTTTCCCCCCAAAACATAACCAAAATACCTCTGTCTCTGGCTTCTGTCACTTAGCATGTTTTCAAGGTTCATACATGTTATACTGAGTATCGATACTTTCTTTTCTTCTTATTGTGGTCAAATACACATAACATAAAATTTACCATCTTAACCATTTTTATGTGTGTAGTTCAGAGACATTAAATACATTCATAATGTTTGCAACTATCACCACCATCCATCTCCAGAACTCTTTCATCTTGTAAAACTGAAACTCTATACCAGCGATTTTCATCCTTTTTCATCTCATGGCGCACACAAACTAATTACTAAAATTCTGTGGCATACCAAAAAATGTATTTTTTGCTGGCCTGACCAAAAAATAGGTATAATTTTGATTCATTCACAGTGGACAGCTATTGTGTTGGTGGTAGTTGTCATTTTTTTATTTTCTTTTTAAATCCTCACCCGAGGATATTTTTTAGGAAGAACAGAAGGGAGAGGGAGAGACAGAGAGTAACCAATGTGAGAGAGACGCATTGATTGGTTGCCTCCCACGTGCCCCTTACCAAGGCCAGGAGCCTGCCCTTAACCGGAATCAAACACGGGACCCTTCAGTCCACAGGCCGACACTCTATCCACTGAGCCAAACCGGCTAGGGCAAGTTGTTGTCATTTTTTTATTTGACAATCTAAGGAAAAAGAGTTCAGTGCCCCTGATCAAATTGTCAGGTATTGCCGAAACCGGTTTGGCTCAGTGGATGGAGCGTCGGCCTGCGGACTGAAGGGTCCCAGGTTTGATTCCGGTCAAGGGCATGTACCTTGGTTGTCGGCATATCCCCAGTAGGCGATGTGCAGGAGGCAGCTGATTGATGTTTCTCTCTCATCGATGTTTCTAACTCTCTATCTCTCTCCCTTCCTCTCTGTGAAAAATCAATAAAATATATTTAAAAAAAAACCAAATTGTCAGGTATTGCATGTTTTAAAAGTTCTTGTGGCACACCAGCTGAAAAATATTCTATACCATTAAATAATAACCCCATTCTGCCCCTTTCCCAGCCCCTGGCACTCAACAGTTCTATGATTTTAATTACTCTTGAGTACCTCATATAAGTAGATTCATACAGTATTTGTCTATTTATGACTGGCTTATTTTTTTTAAAATATATTTTATTGATTTTTTTACAGAGAGGAAAGGAGAGGGATAGAGAGTTAGAAACATCGATGAGAGAGAAACATCGATCAGCCGCCTCCTGCACACCCCCCACTGGGGATGTGCCTGCAACCCAGGTACATGCCCTTGACCGGAATCGAACCTGGGACCCTTCAGTCTGCAGGCTGACGCTCTAACCACTGAGCCAAACCAGTTAGGGCTATGCCTGGCTTATTTTATTTAGTATAATGTCCTCCGGGTTCATCCCTGTTGTAGCCTGTGCTGAATGTCTTTCTTTATATTTTTTTTATATTTTGTTAATCCTCACCTGAGGATATTTTTCTATTGATTTTTAGAGATATGGGAAGGGAGGGGGAGATGGAGAGAGAGAGAAACATTGAGGTGAGAGAGACCGATTGGTTGCCTCTTAACACTAACCCCAACCAGGGCTGGGAGTTAGGTCTGGGGGTTGAGCTTACAACCGAGGTACATGCCCTTGACCGAAATCGAACCCAGAACCCTTCAGTCCTCAGGCCGACATTGAGCCAAACTGGCTAGGACAATTTCTTCCTTTTTAAGGTAGAATAATATTCTATTGCATGGATAGACCACATTTTGTTTATCTCTTTATCGATGTACACTTGGGTTACTTCCATGTTTTAGCTCTTGTGAATAATGCTGCTATGTTCATGGATGTACAAATATGTCTTCAGTACTCTGCCTTCAGTTCTTTTAGGTATAAACTCAGAAGTGGAATTGCTGGATGATGTGGTAGTTCTATTTTTAATTTTTTGAGGAGCCACCATACGGTTTTCCACAGTGGCTGTACTGTTATTTTCTGTTGTTTTTTTAAATAGTAAACATCATAATGAGTGTGAAGTAGTATCTCATTGTAGTTTTGATTTGCAGTTCCCTGATAGTGATGTTGAGAAACTTTTCATGTCCTTATTGACCATTCTCATTGACTTATTGAAATATTGGAGAAATGTCTAGTCAAGTCCTTCACCATTTTTGAGTCAGGTTGTTTCTTTGTTGTTGAGTTTTAGGAATTCTCTATATACTCTGTATATCAATCCTTTATATGATAGATGACTTACAAGTATTTTCTTCCATTCTGTGTATTGCTTAATTATGTTGATAGTGTTTTTTGATGCACAAATTTAAAATTGTTCACAAAGTCTAGTTTGTCTGTGTGTTTTTTTTTAATGGATTGTACATCCTTTTTAATGGTCACTATTTCTTTAAGTTCTCACTGAGATTATCCATTCTTCCTCTAAGGTCCTTGAGCATCCTTATAACCATTGTTTTAAACTCTGTATCTGATATTTTGGTTGCTTCCATTTCATTTAATTATTGTTCTGAGCATTTCTCTTGTTCTTTCATTTGGGGCATTCTTCTTTGTCTCCCCATTTTGTCTCTGTGTATTAGATAGATCTGCTATGACTCCCAAAGTTGTTATAATGGCTTTATGATGAAAGTGTCTTGTTGCTGTCTAGTGTTTCTTTTGTGGCCTGTGCCTTTAGTGTCATATCCAAGAAATCATTGCCAAATCCAGTGTCCTGAAGCTTTTGTCCTGTGTTTTCTTCTAAGAGTTTTATGTTTTAGATTTTGCATTTAGGCTTTGATTCATTTCAGTTAATTTTTACACATGGTGTTAGATCAGGGTCCAACTTCATTCTTTTGCATGTGGATATTTAGTTTTCCCAGCCACATTTGTTGAAAGATTGTTCTTTCCCCATTAAGTGGTCTTGGCACCCTTCTCAAATATCATTTGACCAGATATGTGAGGGTTTATTTCTTGGTTCTCTATTCTATTTATTCTGTTTATGCCAGTATCACAATATTTTGATTACTGCAGCTTTGCAGTAAGTCTTGAAATCAGGAAGTTATCCAATTTTGTTCTTCTTTTTCAAGATTGTTTTGGATATTTGGGGTCCCTTGAGATTCCCTATGAATTTTAGGATGGATTTTTCTATTTCTGAAAAAAAATGCCATTGGGATTTTAATAAGAATTACATTAAATCTGTAGATTACTGAGGGTGGTATTGACATCTTAATAATAAGGCTTCCAATCCATGAACATGGGATGTGTTTCCACTTATTTATGTATTTACAGTAATCCCCCTTAATCCACTGTTTTGTTTTCCATGGTTTTAGTTACCTGCAGTCAACCGCGATCCGAAAATATTAAATGGAAAATTTCAGAAGTAAACAATTCATAAGTTTTAAATTACGTGCCATTCTGAGTAGCGTGATGAAATCTCGCGCTGTCCTGCTGCATCCTGCCAGGATGGAAATCATCCCTTTGTCCAGCGTATCCACACTGTATATGTTTCCCACCCGTAAGTCACTTAGTAGCCGTCTTGGTTATCAGATCGACCGTCAAGGTATCACAGCGCTGTGTTTAAATAACCCTTATTTTACTTAATAATGGCCCCAAAGCCATTGACATAACTTTTATTATAGTATATTGTTATAATTATTCTATTTTATTATAGTTATTGTTGTTAATCTCTTACTATGCCTAATTTATATAGGTATGCATATGTAGAAAAAAACAGAGAGCGTTGAGTACTACCTGTGGTTTCAGGAATCCACTGGGGGTCTTGGATATATCCCACATGGATAGGGGGACTAATGTAGTTTCTTTCAGCAATGTTTTGTAGTTTTTATTGTAAAAGTCTTTCACTTCCTTTGTTAAGTTATTCCTAAGATATTTTTATATGATTATAAATGGACTTGTTTTTGTAATTTCCTTTTCAAATTGTTCATTATTAGTGTATAGAAATGCAACTGATCTTTTTATATTTAGTTTTATTATCCTGCTAACTTGCAGCATTCATTGATTAGTTTTAACAGTTTCTGTATGGAATTTTTGAAGTTTTCTCTATATATGTTCATATCATCTGTGAACAAATAATTTTTTCCTTTCCAATTTAGATGCCTTTTATTTCTTTTTCTTGCCTAATTGCTCTGGCTAGAACTTTCATCACTTTGTTGAATAGAAGTGGTGAAAGTGGACATCCTTGCCTTATTCCTAATCTTAGAAGAAAAGCTTTCATTTTTCACCATTAAATATGATGTTTGCTGTGGTTTTTAATATATGGCTTTTGTTATGTTGAGGTAGTTTCCTTCTGTTTTTGTCAGGTAAAGGTATTTAATTTTATCAGATGCTTTTTCTACATCAATTGAGATCATCTTGGGGCTTTTTCCCCTTCATTCTGTTAATATGGTGTAATCCATTGATCTAGTTTCATGTGTTGAACCATCCTTGCATTCCAGGAACAAACTTCATTTGGTCATGATGTTTAATCCTTTTAATACGCTGCTGATTTTGTTTTGCTATTTTTTTGTTGAGGATTTTTGCATCAATGTTCATAAGAGATATGGGTATATAGTTTTCTTGAAGTGTCTGTCTGGCTTTGGTAACAGTATGCTTTTAATGGTACCTCTCATTATGAGTGTGGTTGCATATCCTTTTATTTGTTTATAGGTCATTTAACTTCTTATTCTGTGAAATATTTGTTCATATGTTTTGCCTTAGGAAGCTTTTAAAAAATATAAACTTCCTAGACCCACCCAGATCTACTGATGAGAATCTTGGGGGTGTTCCCTAGGGGATCCTTATATACCAGCCTGGTAGAGGACTTGGGATTGTGAACCATGGTTGTAGTGTTCTGAGCCAGGAGTCCTGAAAAAGCCAGATCTGTGGCCTGTTGTGTGACCTGCCTGGTACTGTCAATAAGATACCGTGCTGCCCTGTTTCCTTCTCTCACATATAGAAGCTTTAGCCTAGAACAGCGGTCGCCAACCTTTTGGACCTCACGGACCACCAGTGGTCTGCAGCCTAGAATGTAGTCACTAGATGATCAGTGAAGTCCACTTAATTATCAAACCCTGTGTTTGACCTGATGTCCCAGGTCCCAGTGGCTGCATCTAGCCAGTTCCCAGAGGCTCTGGCTACCTGGGGAACTCTGTGTTGTTCTCAGTGTCACTGATTAGTGTATCCCCACTCTCCCTCCAGTTCCAGAGCACATTCCCAGCCCAGTCAGGTCTGACCAGGAGGGTCCAAATGAAAGGCAGGCCCCCGAGCACCAGAGAGACTCAGGAGCAAGAGTAACTCCACCTGGAACAAGCACGGGTGAGTGAGGGCTGTCAGGTGGCAGTGTGACTGGCATCCCAGCAACAGTACCAGCCAGTGGTACTGAGAAGAGGGTGGGTGGATGGCTGGGACCAGCTGGGCTGAGTGGGACAGGCTTCCTAGAAAAGGCGCCACTGAGGCGGGCCATAGAGGAAGTCAATTTTCCCGGGGACGGCATTTCAGCAGGAGAAAATAGTCTGAGCAAAGGTGTGGGTTCCTCAGGTGTGTTGGGGGCCAGACACACTGGTCTGTCTGGAGTGAGGGGAAAGGCACAGAGGGCAGGTAATAGACTGCTTACAGTGGGTTCATTAAGGGGAGGTATGTGTCATACACCTAGCATGGGGCCAGCCTGTGTGCTCGTCAGTACCTGTCGTCTTTCTGAAGGCCTGTGAGGAGCTCTGTGGCTTTAGTCACCTTTCCAATGTTCTCTGTCTGCTTCTTTTAAAGGAAACTCCTGCCATCCTTTTCCAAAAAGGAAACATAATTCAGAGGGCATTAGCCTAGCGCTTGACAGATAATTCAGAGCCATTTTCTGTCTTCAGACTGCACTTTGCTGCCTTGGCCTTCTCTGTGTCTCCTTCCTGCTGGCCTGGCTTGTCAGACTCGGGGTTCTCTCTCCGGTTACTTCTGTGCCTCTCCCCCACTGAATATGGCCTCCCTGAGGTTGAATATGGCCTCCCCTCCCTTCCCTGTTTCCCTCCTTCCTGGCCACTGACTGTATAAGGAGAGATAGGACCCTCTCATGGTCCCTGTCTGTTGCAGACCTGGCACTGTGCCCCAGGGGCCTCCCCAAACCCTCTGTCCTTTAGAGGCCCATCAGAGTGACAGATGCCAAGGGACCAGTTGGCACTGGGGAGCATGGGGCTCCTCTTCCTGGCAGGTGCTGGAGCATAACCAGGGCCTGCTGGGAAACGGCTGTGTCACTCTGCAGGAGCCCGGTGTCAGGAAAGACCCTCACAGGATTCTCTCCACAGGGCCCCCAGCCAGTACCAGCATTTTGTCCGCAATTAAACTGGAGGAAGATTCTTCAGATGGGGAGTCCCCTGTCTCCCCTCCTAGGGACATCCTGCCCAGCATGGGGCTAGGTGAGTGAAGGGAGGAAGCCCTGTGGCCACTGCAGAGCCTCAGAGGAGCTCGGAGTCCCTTTGGGATGGGCTGGGGGTTAGCATGGTGAGACCTGCTAGGTTTCCTCCTGAGGGGTCCCTTCTTCATCCCCCAGGTTTTATTTCCCTGCGGCTCTGGGGACCCAGAGCCTCTGTGGTCTGGTCTTCCCTCACTGTGGTCCAGCCTGACTGGAAAGTGCTGCTGGGAAGCGAGCTGCATGTCGCCAGGTTTGTGGTCTGGTGACAGAAAAGCCTCACGGCCACCTAGGAGTGGCCCAGGCTAACAGCCTCCAGTCAGCCGACCTGACCATTCACCAGCTTGTGTGCGATTTAAATTTAGTTCCCACTCAGAGTCTGTGTATTTCTTGTAAACCGGCTGACACCGTGGCGAACAAGAAAAAGAAAGTGATTATTGCCTACTCTGGCCTTGGGCAGGTTTTCTGTCCCCATAGAAAGGGATCCAACTCTCCCCTGGTTCCATCCTGGTATCCGCTTCAGTGGAAGGCAAAGGTGAGATTTGGATCCACCGCAGGGTTGTGGCCTGGTGGGACCAAGCTACAGATGGGCTCACATGAAGGGATCTGGGGCTTTGGCCTTCACTAATCCCTAAGTTCAGGAATACCATGGTAGTCCATTAAATGCAACACCATTTTCTTTTCTTTTTTTCTTTTTTTGGGCGGGTATGCGTGGGGGCGGGTGTGTGTGGAGCGGGTGTGCCTGGGGTGGGTGTGCGTGGGGTCAGTGTCTAAATGCAACACCATTTTACCCCAAAGTTGAAATGATTCTTATGGATTCTATGGTTCTGTAGCTGTAGGACTAAATTAATACCAGTGGGTTATTTCTAACAGAAGTAAAGTTCTGTCCTGAGATATTTGTGAGGGTTAGGGGGAGCTTCAGGGAGCCATCGGGTGCTGTCCCTGGAGGTCCACCATGGAAGGGCTCCTGAGTGCACTGGCCTCCTGGCTTGTGGTTTAAGTTCAAGCTTCAGCAAGAATAGAAATTTCTCTGGTCCTGGACCTTGGAAGTTGCTTGTAGAGGGCTGAAGATTTTCATTTTAATGTGCAGAGGTCAGGGTTCACGGTCACCCTTTGAGCAGACCTTGTGGTCTAGCAGCTGAGGCCACCAGGTGCTGGGGGAGATTAGAGAAGAGTGGTGGGGGGCTGACTGCAGAGCAGACCAGGGGTGAACAGCAATAGGAGGGTATGAAGGACGCACAGTGTTCCAGGCAGGGCTCCGTAGCCAGGACCCTCCTTAACCAACGTTAGGGACCCGTGGGACCTGCTGCCCCAGACCCACCCTTTCACTGCTGTGTCCCGGGAGCTCTTTTGCCTAAGTGCTGTCTTAGAGTCAAGTGTGTGACCCACACTGAGGCCCTACCGGGAAGCCCCATCCTCGTGCCTCCTGCCTGTCACCTGTGTGTCACCGAGATCACAGGCGCTCAGTGTGGGTTTGTTACACAGATGAGTAGCTCTCAGTGAGGCTAAGGCATTCAGCACCTCCAGCCCTGAGGCCTCTGACCTAGGAAGGAGGTAGTCAGGGCCCATAAGGCTAATTGTCTTTCAAAGATTGAGACTAAAGTCATCAGAAGTCCTGGGGGTCCTGCATGGCCAGCAAATCTCAGGGTTCAGGGTCTCTGCCTGTCTTTGTCTCCTCTTCATTTTCCCACCTGTATGTCTCCCACTGGTCTGACCTCCTCACTCCCTGGTTTTGCAGCTCTGTCTCTTTCCTGACATTCTAGCTTGGCCTGCAGGCATAGGCCAAGTGACCAACAGATTGGGTGGCATTAGGAGGCAGTCCCCATGGGTGGGGCTGAGCGAGAAGGTCCCCTGCTCCCTGTGGTGAGCCCTGCAGGAGAAAAGAGTTTAGTGAAGGCAGGAGGGGGGGTGCCTGTGAGGCTGGAGCTGTGCCAGGAGGGCCGGACTAGGGCAGGGGTGGGGTTGGTCCACAGGAAATCAACGGAGATTCCTTTCGGCAGGTGGTGCTGGAGGTGTGGTCATCAAGACGGAGGCACAGTCCGAGGACGAGATGATGCCGGAGCAGCTCTTCCTGGGCAAGCCCCCCGGCCAGACCCCGAGTACAGTCCCCAAGGGGCCCAAGAGCAGGACTGGGGGTCCCCGCCAGCTTCATGCCCAGGGAGTGCCCAGGGTGCGGGCAGGGGACCCTCGGCCTCGGCCCGCAGGGGCGGTGGGGGAGGTG